TTATTAGTTTTATATTGTCTTTGTGTGAACATATATTGTGAGGAGAACCATGGTAGCCTGGTGAATATTTATCGGCAAAGAATTATATTCCAATATATTTTATATTAGTTAATACAATTTACACAAAAGTTTGTTTTTTTCTTTTACTTTTTAAAAATTAAAGTGCAATTTACAAATAATAAACTTTAAATATTCTATTAGCAGTCAAGAAAGAAAAAAATATTGGGAAAATCTATTGTCAAAGACCTTTCTAAAGTGCTAAAGGGCAATAATGTCAGTTTAAAGACTAAAATGCACCTGATCGAAGTCATACTTTTTTTATTTGTTTCCTAGGCATCTGAAAGTTGGACAATGAATTAGGAAGACTGAAAAATTGATCCCTTTGAATTGTGGTGTTGTCAAAGATTATTGGATAACCAAAAGAACAAATTTGTGTTGGAGGAAGAGTAATCAGTGTGCTCTTCAGAAGTAAGTATGGTGAAATTTACTCTCACATATTTTGAACATGTTGTCATGAGGAATTGGTCATTAGAAAAATAAATGTTACCGGGCAAGGTGGAGGGCCAGAGGAAGAGAAGAAGACCCCCAACAAGATAGATTGACACAATGACTGTAACAGTGAGCTTTAGCATTCTTGGAAAGTGTAAGGAGAGTGCAGGATAGGGGAGGAATAGTTTAGATATGGTTAGCATGGTTGTTCATAGGGTCATTTTGAGTTGTAGTTGACACAATGACAACAATAACAAAGTTTACCTTATTTTCAGTGTACAAGACTTGACAAGTGATAATTTTATAACTATTGCCACAATTAAGAGACAGAATCTTTTCTTCAACCCTCTAAATTCCCCTTGCATCTTTTTGTAGTACTCCACCCACATCGAATTATGCCAACCACTGATCTCAGACAATCTGTTTTTTTTTTTTTAAATACCTCTGCTCTTCACCTAGTGGTTTGAGTCCACCAGCTTCTCCGTAGGAGAATGATGTGATAATCTGCTTCTGAACAGGTTTGCAGCCTGGAAATCTTACACATACCCTAGAGGGTCCCTAAGAGTTAAAAGCAAGTCAATAGCAAAGGGTTTGAATTTTTTGTTGTTGTTGTTGTGTGGTTGATCATTATAAAATTTTAATATAAGTCCAATTGAATATGAATTCTATAGAGACTCTTAGCTATAGGAAAGCATGTAAATCCCATGAAGTTCCATATCTGAAGTAGTCAGTTTTGCTACCCTTGCAGTTTCTTTCTGATGTAAGTCTTTTCTCCTTTTTCTAGGTTCCCCATGATGTCTTGTAGGAGTGGCAGTCAGCACTGACAGAGGGATGAGTATGTCTGCCTCCATGCTAAACACTTTGCATATTTTTTTACTCACATGACATTCTTCTTGAAATAGATACTGATAATAGCATTCCTATTTTAGAAATGAAGAAAAAGAGTTATAGAAAAGTGAAAGAACCTGTTCAAGGACACAGGTACAGTCACTGTTAAAAAAAATGACAACTGCATACCATCTCTATTTTCCTCACAGTTTCTAGATATAATCTACTACTACAGTTGTTGCTTTTGGAGGGACAGATTATTTATTAACTCTTAGAAATAAGGGAATAATAATTTTAACTAAAAGAGGAAGAACTGCTGTATGCCGTATACAAGGATCCCTGGGAGTACAGATCATTAAGTGCTCAGCTGTAACTGAAAGACTGGTGGATTGCACGCCTGCAGCAGTCTAATGGGAGAAAGGCCTGTTGTTCTGCTTCCATGAAGATTACAGCCAACAAAACCATCTGGAGCAATTCCACTGTCATGTGGGGTCGATATTCTTGAAAAATAGACCCTATAGCACTTAACCACAACATGTAGGACTCACATCATGCCTAGGGCACAACGTTGTTGTTAGCTGTCTTCAAGCCACTTTTGACTCATGGTCACTCCATGTATGGGAAGAGTAGAACTCCATTGTACATAATCAACTTTTTAACCCTTTCTTTAAAACCTTTTCTTTTGAGTTAACATATGTCTTAAGGGAACAGACCTATTCTATCCAGTTCCACTTACAGCTGTGAGCCTTTTCTTGTCCTCTAAGGAAGAAGCATTCAGTTGGCAAGAAAGATAAGAAGAGATGGAGGGGAACAGCTTGTGTCTATACTTGATTAGAGCCCTTCTTCTGGAACCAGGAGAGCAAGAATCACACAGGCCCTTGTTACAACCCATCTGAGTGGTGAACTGAGCCCTACAATAGAGGGCAATGCAGTTACAGCCTAAAATCAGGGTACTCTTCTGAATTTTACTATTTTGGATTGTCAACATTTCTTTTCATCTCAGAGTCATAAAAGCAAAATCCCTAAGAAATAGGACATATAAGTTACTCTGCAGCAGACAAGGTTCTCAGAGCTAATTTATTCTGCACAATAACCCTCTGCAGTATGTACTGTACTCATCTCCATTTGACAAATGAGGATTGTGAGACTCAGGTGGAGTCATCTGTCCGAGGTCACACAATTGTAAGTGCCCAGTGGGGGCTTCAGAAGGCCCACTACACAGTCTCTGCTCTAATATCCTTCAGAGGCTGAACAGATGATCCTCAGGCCCAATTTAAGCAGTGGCAGCAAGACTTCCTTCTACGAAGGACACCTAGTCCTGTGCCTTCAATAAATGTGGGAGCAGCAGAAAGAGTGGTTCTTCCTCTACTTGAATATGAAGACACTGCCTCTGAGAAGTGGAATGAGGGCTGTCACTCAGTGTAACTTATTGCCGTTATTTACCATTGAGTCAAAACCAAACCATTACTGACCCCTGAGTTTTCAGAGGCAGTAAATTTCATGGGAGGAGATTGCCATCTTTCTCCCCTGGAGCAACTGGTGGATTTGAACTGCATACTGTTCTCAGTGAAACTATACAATTTAAAACCAAAACAAACAATTTGAGTTTTATAGTGGTCCACAAGACAGAGTAGAACTATCCTGTAGGGTTTTCTAAGCTACAATTTTTATAGAGTCCTGGTGGCGTAGTGGGTAAGTGCTCAGGTGCTAACTAGAAGGTTGGAGGGTCCTCTCACCAGCAGTTCCGTATGAGAAAGAGGTAGTAATCTGTTTCCACACAGATTAAGCCACTTGGGAATTCTATGGACAGTTCTGCTCTGTTCTTCAGGGTCACTAACAGCAGCTATTTGGTTTTGCCTGTTTTAATATTTACAGAAACAGATCACCAAGGCTTTCTCTCAAAGAAATTCTGGGTGGGTTCAAACCATCAACTTTGTGATTAGTAACTAAGCACTTAATCATTGTGCCACCAGAACTTTTTAAAAAAATGACTTTACCACTTGGGTTTCTAAGGAAAAAAAATCAGAAAATTTAAGTAAAAATTACAATGGTCAATCACCTTTGCAAACAGATTTTGTTCTATAAACCTACTTCATATTCAGTCTTCATTCATTCCTAAACTGGGCAACTCTCCACCACCCTTGCCTCAAATATAGTGTTTCTTTATGAGAATGATGATGCAAGGAAATACAAACTGTATTTAGAAGAAGCCATAGTACTAGGGACATCGTTGTCAATGTCAGATGGATCTCAGCTGAAAGCTGAGAGTACCAGAGGATGTCTATCTGTGTTTTGTTGACTATGCAAAGGCATTTGACTGCGTGGATAGCAACAAATTTTGGATAACTTTGAGGAAAGTGGGAATCCCCAAACAATTGTGCTCATATGAAACCTATACTTGGACCTGGAAGCAGTAGTCAGAACAGAGCAGGGAAACACCGCATATTTCAAAATCAGGAGTGTGTCGGGGATGTGTCATGTCTTCAAACCTTTTCAATCAGTATGCAGAACAGATCATATGGGAGGCTGGACTTTATGAAGAGGAATGTGGCATCAGGATTGGAGGAAGATTCAACAACCTATGTTATGCAGATGACACAACCTTGCCTGCTGAAACTGAGGAGGACCTGAAGCATTTGCTGCAGAAGGTCAAGGACCGTAGTTTACAAAATGGATTTAAGCTCAACATCAAGAAAATGAAGATTCTCACCACTGGGCCTGTTGGTGGCATTATGATAGATGGAGAAGAGATTGAGATTGTTAATAATTTTAGCTTGCTAGGATCCACAGTCAACAAGTTTGATACCAGCAGTCAGGATATCAAGGTACTCAGGGACCTCGCCAGAGTAATAAAGAGCAAGGATGTCAGTCTAGAGAATAAGGTGCACCTGATGCAGGCCATGGTGTTCGTAATTACTTGCTATGCATCAGAGAGCTGGATAATGATTAAGGATGACATAAGAATTGATACCTTTGAGTTTTGGTGCTGGATAAAAAGTGTTGAACATACCATGGACTTCCAAGAGAACTAACAAATATTTAGAGTGTGAAACCATGCTGCTCCTTGGGAGCAAGGATTTCAAGATTTTGTCTCACATATTTTGAGTATGTAGCCAGGAGGTACCGGTCTTTGGAGAAGGATATCATGCTTGGAAGAGTGGACGGATGGTGCAGGAGGGGAAGACTCTGGGTAAGATGGACTAACACAATAACTAGGGTAATGAGGACAGGTGTGTCACAGACAGTGAGATTGGCTCAGAATGGAGCAGGGTTCAGAACTATCATGCATAAGGTGGCTATGAATCTTAGTCAACTCAACAGCACATAACAACATCACGATACAAGGAAGGTTAAAAAACTGACAAATTTCCAACACACATGCTGCCTTTTATGAAAAAATGCTAATGTTCTAAAAAATATTTGGGATGGCAACATGAAGGCAGCATGAGTCTCACTTTCTTTTCTCTATTACTGTTGAAATTATTTATTCAATGGATATTTTGGGAATTTGAAAGGAACAATTTCTATGTTCCTCTGATTGGGAACAGATTCTTTCACAAGGACATCAAAAGTTACCCCAGCAGTCCTCAGGTCCTTTGCCCACCCAAGCTGATACACTGGTAAATGCTGACTTAGAGTAGCATGTGTGTTTGGGTGCACGTGTTACCTTCTCCATGACTTACCTTCTCCAATGTGTCATTCAGGGCATCCATTGTCTGTATCTTGGTAACATTGGCAATGGCACTGTGAAGATGAGAAGAGATTTCATATAAGACTTTAAGAGTTTCCCCACTAAAAATGTTAATTGATTTATACAGAGGGTTTCTACCAAGGCTTGCAATGTTGACCAGTCAAACCGATTGCTGTAAAATTGATTCTTATTTGTGATGATATTGTGTCTCAGAATAGAACAGTACTATATATACTACAGCATTTTCAAAGGCTGACTTTTTTGGAAGTAAATTGTCAAACTTTCTTCCATGCCATTTTGGGTGTACTTGAACCTCCAACCTTTCCATTAACAGTCAAGTGTCTTAGTATTTATACTACCCAACTTCATCTAGAAGGAAAAAAAATTTTACATCTTTGTGCCCAGGTACTACAAGCTTTCTCAGTTGAATTATTATTATTATTCATCTAACTTTTCATTAAAGTATTATGTTGTTGTTGTCATTGAGTTGCACACAACTCATAGCGACTCCATGAACAACAGACTTGAGGCCTTTCTGTAACTGTCATTTCTCCAAGTTCATAGTTTTCAAATACATGTGGTTTAGGAAATGGAAGCCACTCCTGTTGCCCAAATTGTATTAAAAACTGGGAGCTCCACCAAACACTGTCCACCATAGGCAGCCAATATGGCATTTGAGACCCCAATGGTACAAGGTTCAATATCACAACAAACCCAGATTACCTCAGCACAGCAAATTGACAGAAGAGTGCTGTACAATTTAGAAAACGGTTCCTCCAAACTATAGTAGCAAAGGATTAAACTATAATACCTCAGACCTAACATTAAATATAGGGACCCTCCAGGAGGTTTTGTTGGCTGTAAACAAGATGATTTAATAATAAACAAAACAAAACAAAAAAACAATCAAGCATTCCACAATGACCCTCACCAAAACAGAGAGCCCATCTTACAGAGTCCAGTCACTTTATCCAGTCTCCAAAATGGTGACAAGGGCCTGGCCTTAAATGCAAGTGTCCTCCTGGAGGTCTTGTTGACTTTAAATGAGAGGCTTAAACAATGAAATAATCCATACCAGTCCTCAACCAAAACACGAGCACCATCGTAGAGTCCAGCCAATGAAAGTCCAAAATGGAAGACAAGGGCTTGGGAATATACATTGTTGTTGTTAAGTGCCATCTAGTACTGACCCTATAAACAAAAGACTTTAACCTTGTTCTTTAACTATTGTCCTTTTTCTAAGTTATAGAGTTTCCACAGGCATGTTTAGGAAGTGGATGCCACTTCTGCTTCAAAGCCTGTCTTTATCTGTTAGCAAACCAGATACTTATTGTCAACCATGGGTAACCATTATGACACTTGACAGATCACCGGCTCAGCGTTCAGTATCACAGCAATCCCAAGTTACCTCAATACAGAAAAAGAACAGAAAAGTGCTGTACCACTTAGGAGTGCTTATTTAAAAAACAATGATAACCAGATGAAATTTTAAAAGGCCACAGGCCCACACACCAGGCTCTTGTTGGTTCCCAGCAAGAGGCTTCCAGCCAGCCAAAGACAATCTGGAGCCTTCCCACAACCAACACAGAAAGAAAGTATAATATATATACAGAAAAATACAAATGCAGTAAGTGGTTAAAGCCCAAATCTCTCAGATCAGCTCCAATGTCTGGTAACCTGTCACTGGTTTTTCAAAGCTGTAAATCTTTATGGGAGGAGAATGTCCTTCTGACTGGTGGATTTGAACTTCTGACTTTTAGATCAGTGGCACAACACCTCACATTTGGCTTTGCAAATATTCACAAACTGAACCCACTGTATAAAACTAGTATATAGATTGCAAAACAAGAGCTGGCCAGCTTCTCCCTCTGTGATCTCCATTATCCCCGAGGAAAACACTACTTTGATTCACAGTCACCCATACTGGTTTGGAATGAATCCCTGGTGGTCTGTGTGTAACATATCAGGCTTCTGGAATGCTAACTGAAGGCTAGCAGTCACTCGATAGGAAAAACCGGATTTTTTCTTTTCTTCCTTCCTCAGAGCTTCGCTGCTTTGGCAACTCAATGAATGGTCATTATGATTTTGAAATGGGCTCAGTGGTAGTGGGTTAGAATAGCCTGAAGATAGCCTTCGTGGTTTAGTGTGTAGTTGATAGGACTAGTGATTTGGAAGCAGGAGTGGCATCCACTTCCTAAACAACATGCCTCTGGAAAATATGAACTTGGAGAAAGGATAGTCATAGAAAGGCTTCAGGTCTTTTGTTCATAGGGTCATTATGAGTTGTGCTCGACTTGACAGCAATTTTCGTCAACAGTAACAATAACAATAACAACAACAGTGACTGAAAGTGAGTTCTGATGGTAAGGAGCTGCACTGCCAACACAAAGGCACGTGGTTCGAATCCACCAGTTACTCCATGGAAGAAAGATGGGCAATCTCTGATTTACTGCCTCTGAAAACCTTCAGGAGGCTCAGCTGTGGGTCAGTTTCTACCTAATGGTACACAACAACACCACCAGTGACTGAAAGTTCAGTGGCTAGGATTCACCAGCTGCTGGCAGAGCATTTGGGTGGTTTTTTTTTAAGGTTAGTTTGAGGTTTTTCTGTACTTCATATAATGAATAACATACATCTGTTCTTTGTGTCTGGCTTTTTTTCAAGTTATTTTGCAGGAGAATTACAATTGGGTAATATCTGCAATTTCTTGAATGGTTGGCACATTCTTTTGCTCTGTGTGGTGGTTTGTATTGCTTTGTGGATACAGTTATTAGGAAACAGACACAGATGATGATAATTAGTCATCCCTTTCTACGGAATAATTTTAAAAGCAGTTCCCCAAGATGTAATGAGAGATGTTGGCCAATGAAGATGAAGTACTTTCACTTTGTGCATATGCTAGTGCAGGGGATGTGAACAGTGAAAGGGGGATTTATTGGGAAGCTAAATGACTGAGGCTCCCCACCCTACTAGCCCCTCCTAGAAATGTCATATTTATCATTTCGTATTGGTTTTCTTTCAAGTGGTGCCAAAATCGTACCAGCTTCAGATTCCACATAACATGTCCCTCTCCCTGGAAGTGAAAAAAAAAAGCTATTTTGCTATTTAGGTTATGATGTAGTGCAATTCTCATCTTTTCATGATTAGTAGAAAACAACTGAGATTTTTTAAAAATGGTTCCAATACTCACTTTATTATTTTCTAACCACTTCTCCTTCTCAATTGATGCTAAAATAACTATGTCTTCATTTTCTGAGGCACAGAGAAAGGAGTGGCTGGCCAAGTGGCTGCAGTCCTGAAATAATTTCTAAGGGCTGACTCTTGTTCCTGAGTCTCTGGTCCAGACATATAAACCTCAGTACACAGGTCACAGTAAACAGGGCTTTGTCTCGATTCAGGTTTGAAACTAAGAACGTTTTAGAAATCAGCTTTCAAACAACTCTGAGATTTCATCTCATCCCAGTTAGAATAGCAAAATTTAACAGAACAGCAAACAACAAATGCTGGTGAGGTTGTGGAGAAACTGGAACCCTTATTCACTTCACTGTTGCTGGGAGTGTAAAATGGTATAGCCACTATGGAAGGCAGTATGGCGCTTTCTCAAAAAGTTGCAAATAGGAAATATCGTTTGACCCAGCAATTCCATTACTTGGAATATACCCCAAAGAGACCATAGCTGCCACCCAAGCAGATACATGCACACCCATGTTTATCATGGCTTTGTTCACAATAGCAAGGAGTTGGAAACAATTTAAGAGCCCATCAACAAATGAATGGATAGAGAAGCTGTGGTATATTCACACAATGGGATCCTACGCTGCATTGGAAAAGTAGGAACTCATGCAATATTATGCAAAATGGATGACCCTGGAGGACATTATGCTGAGTGAAATATCTCAGTCACAAAAGGATAAATACTGAATAGTGGCACTATTCTAGAACGGGACTGACATAGGGGTTGGGAGAGAGACTGAGAAATATGGGATAAATTATGCATACTTCTTTGAAACAGATGAGAGAGAGAACTGTTTAAAAAGTATATATGATTAGGTATTATTGTCATGACAGGAATCCAGAACGAAGGCTGCATAGTGGAGTGGACTTGGGTGGGGGGGAGGGATTGAATAGTAATGAAAGAACTTTTCTATTAGTTTTCAAAGAGAAGAACGAAGTACAACAATGAATGAATGGAAATTCAAAATCTCTGTAAATTTTCAATAAAATTAATGATAATAACAATGAAATCAGCTTTCAATTCAACCACAGCCTGGCAGCCTTTATAACGCACATCCTCTATTCTATAAAGGGCTGGTAAAGATGCTGGGTCATAAGATAAGTAAGATGTAACCCTAACCACTCTTGGGGACTTACAATTTCACTTTCATCACGAAGATAGATGTAATTATTTACTGACAGCTGAAGAAACAAGTGACTAACTGCCAGAGGGGCAAATCTATATCTTATTTTAAAAGGAGTGGGGGATCCTAAAAAATTTGCTTCCTAAAAACTGGAAAGAAAATTTTATTTTAGAACTTCTATGCCAGTCATCTATACACATAAGAATTCTCTTCCAGAGTTACCCACTGCCATTTTGACTCACCGGGTAGGGCAGAGTAGAAGTAGAAACCAGTAGGGTTTCTGAGACTGAAAATCTTTATGGGAACAATCTGCTATATCTTTATCACACAGTCAGACCTTTTACTGTCCAAGGAATGCTGTCACCATGGAGCTACCAGAGCTCCTCTTATCATATTGGTGCCATTTAACTCTTACAGAAGTCATCTTGAGCAGCTTCTAATAGTGGTATAGTAGTCACTTATCAATTGATGTTTCCAAAACTATCTTAAAATTAAAGCAGGAGTAGCCATATTAATCTCTGATAAAATAAATATCAATGTAAAAACCATCACGGAAGATAAGGAAGGTCACTACATAATGCTGAAAGG